AGGGGGAGGGCTGCGCCAGAACTTCGTCTATAGCTCCCATGCGCCTCCCCACTATATATAGGGGTGGAGGGGCTGGTTTCTTGCCCTCCAAGTCCATTGGGGCGTTGGCCAAGGTGGGAGGAAAGAAATCTCATTATTTCCTTCCCCACCGATTGTTATCCCCCCTTTTTAGGGATCTTGATCTTATCCCTTCGGGATATGATCTTATTCCTTCTAAGGGGGGGTCTTGGTGCGCCTTGACCAGGGGTGTGGGGCCTTGCCCCCACTACCCACGTCCATGTGGGTCCCCCCATGCAGGTGGGCCCCACTCCGGAACCTTCTAGAACCTTCCCGGTACAATACCGAAAAATCCCGAACATTTTCCGGTGGCCAAAATAGGACTTCCCATATATAAATCTTTACCTCCGGACCATTCCAGAACTCCTCGTGACGTCCGGGATCTCATCCGGGACTCCGAACAACATTCGGTAACCACATACAAACTTCCTTTATAACCCTAGCGTCATCGAACCTTAAGTGTGTAGACCCTACGGGTTCGGGAGACATGTAGACATGACCGAGACGTTCTCCGGTCAATAACCAACAGCGGGATCTGGATACCCATGTTGGCTCCCACATGCTTCTCGATGTTGTCATTGGATGAACCACGATGTCGAGGATTCGATCAAACCCTGTATACAATTCCCTTTGTCAATCGGTACGTTACTTGCCCGAGACTCGATCGTCGGTATCCCAATACCTTGTTCAGTCTCGTTACCGGCAAGTTACTTTACTCGTACCGTAATGCATGATCTCGTGGCCAACACTTTGGTCACCTTGAGCTCATTATGATGATGCATTACCGAGTGGGCCCAGAGATACCTCTCCGTCATACGGAGTGACAAATCCCAGTCTCGATCCGTGTCAACCCAACAGCTACTTTCGGAGATACCTGTAATGCACCTTTATAGTCACCCAGTTACGTTGTGACGTTTGATACACCCAAGGCACTCCTACGGTATCCGGGAGTTACACGATCTCATGGTCTAAGGAAGAGATACTTGACATTGGCAAAGCTCTAGCAAACGAACTAAACGACCTTTGTGCTATGCTTAGGATTGGGTCTTGTCCATCACATCATTCTCCTAATGATGTGATCCCGTTATCAACGACATCCAATGTCCATAGCCAGGAAATCATGACTATCTGTTGATCACAACGAGCTAGTCAACTAGAGGCTCACTAGGGACATATTGAGGTCTATGTATTCACACGTGTATTACGATTTCCGGATAATACAGTTATAGCATGAATAAAAGACAATTATCATGAACAATGAAATATAATAATACTTTTATTATTGCCTCTAGGGCATATTTCCAACATTCACCACTCAGCCGCCTCGCGTGTCGCCACTCGGTTGTGCACGTCTTCACCACTCGGCCGCCCCGTGCCCCGTCACTCGGTTGTGCACGTCTTCACCACTCGGCCGCCCGCGTCGCCACTCAGTTGTGCATGTCTTCACCACTCGGCCGCCCCGCGTGTCGCCACTCGGTTGTGCATGTCTTCACCACTCGGCCGCCCCGCGCGTCGTCACTCGGTTGTACATGTCCTCACCCCTCAGCCACCCCGCGCGTCATCACTCAGTTGTACATGTCCTCACCACTTAGCCGCCCCACGCGTCACGATCAGTTGGACATGTCTTCAGCACTACACCCCCAACACGGGAATGACTAAGTTACTCATATGATCAAACCTCATATCGCACTTTGTAGCAAGCTTACCTCTTTCGAGCATCACTCAGGGGCTGCGCACAGCCGTGGGCTATACCGCCCTCAGGGCTTGCACTCATTTGATCAACCTGTTGATCACATCATGAATATTTCTCTGACCATACATGCTCGATCTGCCGAAGATCTATGAGGGTAGCACCGTCCACTTGGACGATCGCCCAAATCATTACCTGGAGTCATCTTCGGGACCGCAAAAGGGTAAAAACGACGCTCCTCTACGGATACACTTGGCCCTTATTCTTGGCTCCAAGGCATGAGTTTCACAAACTTGGACTCAGAGATGGCATGTGTTGGTGTTCCCCCGGGATAATGAGTGGCCTCTCTCCGGAGAGTCAGCCCACACACTAGCCTTACCACTCGGGTTTCATGGCACGTCCACATTGGACCACTAGCCTATCTCCTCCGGGAGACATACGAGTGCCACCAAGTTTTTCCTTGCAGTCAACATACCCCGATCAGTCGGGAAGCACGTGTACTCTTACAAATACCCCTTTCCAGCAAAAGCTAACGGTCAATGTAAGAAGTACTACTAAAACGATTACTCCCTGGAGTGTCCAGCTTTTTTCTACAGTCGACAGTTTCAAGGCCGAATTCATTCATCGTGCCGAGTGCATGAAGATTCACTTGATTGATCCATTTCCAAGTTGAATTTATTTATCGTGCCAAGTGCACAAAGATCAGTCCGACTGACTCAGCTCCAGGCTGAGCTTATTTACCATGCCAAGCAATTGAAGATCCACCCGATTGACTCGATGTCAGACTAAGATATCTACCGTACTGACTGCATGGAGGTTTACCAGGAGACTTATACCCTCTGCCAGACTCATCTAGTCTGACAAAGGCTCGGGGACTACACCTAGTGGGTGCACTCAGCATGCCCCCACTGGAAGGGAACTCAGAAAGAAACATTTTGCTCGGTCAAGACCAGCTCTAGATCACTCAAGTACTACTCGACTTCCGAGTCAGAGAGGAACAAGTTCGATCATAACCAACTAAGAAGATTTTTTAATTCTCTCAGACCCCCGCCGACTGCCCGCAGTCGACGGCGGTCTCGGGGACTACACCCAGTGGGTGCACTCAGCGGGCCCCCACTGGAGTAATCTCCACTCGGTACGGCCTGACCGGTCCGAGTGACGAATAACAAACATGCAATTTCTAAGGCTTCCCTCAGCTACCCAAAAAGAAAATGCTATAATTGAGTTTAACGCTCCTCCGTGGACCTGTTTTGAGCCTTCTTCTAGGACTCAAAGCGTGAAACTCATAAGTATGGATCTAGAGCCGACTCATATTGACGTTCCTCCGAGATAAGAATGGCATCTCTCTGAGAGAGCAGTCCATGCATCGATCTTGTTGCCTGGATTTAATGACACATCCATACTCTGATCACGAGTTAACTGTTGGGGAACGCGGTAATTTCAAAAAAAATCCTACGCACACGCAAGATCATGATGATGCATAGCAACGAGAGGGAAGAGTGTTGTCTACGTACCCTCGTAGACCGTAAGCGGAAGCGTTATGACAACGTGGTTAATGTAGTCGTATGTCTTCACGATCAAACGATCCTAGCACCGAAGGTACGACACCTCCGTGATCTGCACACGTTCGGCTCGGTGACGTCCCACGAACTCACGATCCAGTAGAGTGTCGAGGGAGAGCTTCGTCGGCATGACGACGTGATGGCGGTGATGATGATGCTACCGGAACAGGGCTTTGCCTAAGCACTGCTACGATATGACCAAGGTGGATTATGGTGGAGGGGGCACATCACACGGCTAGGAGATCAATGATCAACTTGTGTGTCTATGGGGTGCCCCCTCCCCCGTATATAAAGGAGTGGAGGAGGGGGAGGGGGTCGGCCTCCTAGGCGCGCCCCAAGGGGAGTCCTACTCCCACCGGGAGTAGGATTCCACCCCCCCTTCCCTAGTTGGATTAGGAAAGAAGGAAGGGGGAGGAAGGAGGAAGGAAAGGGGGGGCCGGACCCCCTCCCAATTCGGATTGGGCTTGGGGGGGCCCTCCTTTGCTACCTTCTCCTCTCTCCCACTATGGCCCAATAAGGCCCATATACCTCCCGGTACATCGGTAAATGCCCGATCTCACCCGGAACCATTCCGATGTCCAAATATAGTCATCCAATATATCGATGTTTATGTCTCGACCATTTTGAGACTCTTCGTCATGTCCATGATGATATTCGGGACTCCGAACTACCTTTGTTACATCAAAACACAAAAACTCATAGTACGATCGTCACTGAATGTTAAGTGTGCGGACCCTACGGGTTCGAGAACTATGTAGACATGACCGAGACACGTCTCCGGTCAATAACCAATAGCGGAACCTGGATGCTCATATTGGTTCCTACATATTCTATGAAGATCTTTATCGGTCAAACCGCATAACGATATACATTGTTCCCTTTGTCATCAATATGTTACTTGCCCGAGATTTGATCGTCGGTATCTCAATACCTAGTTCAATCTCGTTATCGGCAAGTCTCTTTACTCGTTCCGTAATGCTACATCTCGTAACTAACTCATTAGCTACATTGCTTGCAAGCCTTATAGTGATGTACATTACCGAGAGGGCCCAGAGATGCCTCTCCGACAATCAGAGTGACAAATCCTAATCTCGATCTATGCCAACTCAACAAACACCATCGGAGACACCTGTAGAGAACCTTTATAATCACCCAGTTACATTGTGACGTTTGGTAGCACACAAAGTGTTCCTCCGGTATTCGGGAGTTGCATGATCTCATAGTCATAGGAACATGTATAAGTTATGGAGAAAGCAATAGCAACAAACTAAACGATCATCGTGCTAAGCTAACGGATGGGTCAAGTCAATCACATCATTCTCTAATGATGTGATCCCATTAATCAAATGACAACTCATGTCTATGGTTAGGAAACATAACCATCATTGATTCAACGAGCTAGTTAAGTAGAGGCAAACTAGTGACACTATGTTTGTCTATGTATTCACACATGTACTAAGTTTCCGGTTAATACAATTCTAGCATGAATAATAAACATTTATCATGATATAAGGAAATATAAATAACAACTTTATTATTGCCTCTAGGGCATATTTCCTTCATTAACCTCTTCCGAGAGATGATCGAATGTCATCAAGTTACTCCTCGCGGGCATTTACCCTAGATCAGTCGGGAAGCGCAGTGCCAGTATCCATTGGATTTTGTTCAAACCTTGGTTGTCTGAATGCATGATGACGGGTACCGAGTATTTCCGTAACCACTTGGGCCAAATTGTGTCTTTCACAAACTTGTTCTGCAAAATCACAATCGATTCGGGGGCTAATGTTGAGGACACACATAACAGGTAGGCCCACGAAGGGTCAAAATATCACAAAAGCATGGGGTCCACACATGAGGTGGGTCCAGATAAATCTCATTCATAGATACTATCCACTCGGACATATCGGCGTACCATCCACTCGAATGGCAGGCAACCACCCGGAAGTATGATTCACTCGGATATGCGAAGACCAACAGTCGGCAAGGCGGTCAAAGCATCATACTAGTAGTAGGCTAACATTATGGCATTCATGCTCCACCTTGTAACATAAGGGGTGAGGGGGTGGCACACTCTATATAAGCCACCCCACCACTAGACTCGAGGGAGGTTCTCATTTCTTCTTCCTCTACTCTCTCACCATTAGTCTCAGGACTTAGCTCTGACATGGGGATCCGTTCTCCTCTCTCTCTCTCTCTCTCTCTCTCATTGTAATCCTCGGATACATACACAGATAAAACAAAGTCTCTTTGGAGCACGAGGCGTAGGGCTGTTATGTCCACCATGAGAGGCCTGAACTTGCTAAAACCACCGTGTTGCCCATTTGCATGTCGATAGATCATGCTCCTTTACCCTATCCCTTATTATTGTCGGAATCGTTCCCACGACAGGGGGGGGGTCGATGGTGAGACTAAGGGGGTTTAATAGGGTGACCGAACCGGAGAGAGGTGACCCAATTCCCCCCGCCGTTTTTTCAGGAACACACGTGATTTCAATGCCTCGTTCCAATTCCATGCACGCCAAGAGCCTGGCTGAGAGGAAACCGCCGATTCAGCCATTCTAAGCGGGCTTGGTTGGGAGGTGCTTTAAGTTTAGTGTGGGCCGAGATTTGGGTGCAGGCCAGGCAACCGAACGGGTCCAAGGCGCATCCCCAAGTCCTGGTTGAGGAGTATGCAGGCAACCAAACTCGTCCTTAACGGCGCTCGCATCACCTCATCGTTCACCACCATATATATCAGCGAATTGATCTACCCCTACATCTGCGACTCCGTGAGCTTTAAACCCGTCGTCATGAACTAATACTGAAGTTGTTTTCATTTCAATCTAAGACTAAATTTGAATATTTTATACAGGAATACACAAATTTGACATTAAATGTCAAAATTTTGCAACCATTTGAAAAAAGCTATATTTATTTTCCTAAAGCCAATTTAAGAACAACACATAAAACATAGTGTGAACATGCGGAGTGCGGCCTTGGAAAACGATACCCACCTGACCTATCATGCAACAATATGTGAGTGATCACAACTCGAAGGCCGTGTCGCCTGTTGGATGCAAGATCCGTCATGCCGGATGCCAACCCTAGAAACAAATTAAGATATATATAATCTGAGCTCCTTGGCCATGGCAAGACGGATACTCTCTCCAATCCATATTAATTACCGCTCACATGAGCGGAGCGGCAATTAATATGAAACGGAGGGAGTAGCTCTTTCTCTTGTTCATGCCATCGCAAGAAAACAGTACCATCGAGAAAGTTTCTTCAGACTTGGGAATTGTATTGTCACTGATGCGTGTGGGCGTGTTGTTACGATTTTTGTTCTTTCTTTTCTAAATTAATAACCTGGCAATCCTCTTTAAACAGATTGAGTCCATTAGACTCTGGTTTAAAGAAAGAAAAAAATCTTTTTGAATATTATTATTCGAAAATCTAATCTTAAGAAATTCTAATCTGTGGTAGTCTTTGCCATGAAACTGGGAAACCCGTACGATTTCCATGTGTGGGGTGGCCGTATCTTATACAGGTGTGCTCCACAAAACCTCGTCGCGGGTCTGGATTCTGGACCACCCACCGAACCGCCCGCCGGCGATAGCAGCCGCCGCCAATGGCCGCCGTCTCGACGGCCCAAATCCCCCCATTCCTCACCACCCCCACTTTCCAGTCCTCGCTTCTCTTCCTGCCCACAGCACGGCGGCCCCCAACCTCGCCGGCCTACGCCGACCGCCCTGCTCTTGCGGTCGCGTGTCCTCGCCCCGGTGGAACCCACAGGACTCAGGCTGCCCAGCTCGTTCTCCCTGCCTGTGCTGCCGCTTCGTACTCCTCGGCGAGCGCGGCAGAAGGTACTGTACGTAATCAAATTGGGGCTGTGCTGTACTGTTGGCTTGAGCTCTTGAAGTAATTGTTACAGTTGTAAGTATGCTTTTGAAGGGGATGAAGGCATGTCTGACCCGGAGCTGAGGCTGGTGCTGGAGCTTGCCACCGACGACGAGCTGCTGGAACTGGAGGAGATCCTCTATGGTACCAGGTGTGGGGCTCGAGCTTACTGATTGTTCCAATGCTGTTTACTGTTTAGCACTGAGATAACTGATTGTTTGGTTTGGATCATAGTGATGGGTTTCACGAGACAGAGTTGAATTCGCTAGTTTGGAGTTTGGTTAATAGTGTGCATATATAATCTGCTGCGATGTACTAGTTGTTTTGGAGTTTTTGGCTGCCTCTTTTGGTTCCTACCGTTGGTTATGACGGCAAGCATGCTTTGCTGCACAATTAGTCAAATATATCTAGTTGCTTGATTACAAAGTAGTAACGCTAACCGCATTCAAATTATGGACAAAGAGGATCAGATCTGTGAATTTACACAGAATAGTGTTACTTTTGTTTTAGAAATAATTTAATTAAACTCTTTGGCAAAAGAGTTAATTATGGCCAAAGAGGATCAGATCTGTGAATTTACTTTTGTAATGCTAACTAGATCATGTTTATTTGGAAATGATTAAAATGTCATCTCCTTTGTTTCTTTTTCCATCTACTGATTTTTGAAACCATCATGGTTTTTCTCTTGAGTTTTCTTTATTGTGCTGACTGATTCAGTTAGACCTGATCACTTTCCTGTGTTTGTATAATGGGACTGCTACAAAAAGCTGTTGTGCAATATCTACCTGTCATATTCCAATGATTCACATTGTGAGCATAAGCTTTGGTTCTGTGTCTCCTTATTCTTCAGCTATTTCAGCCCAGTGCTAAAATCAATTGGAAAAAGGCCGAATACCGTTTCTATTGTTGCTTTGGACGATATCGAGGAGAGAGATCTTTTCATCTCAAAATTGGAGTCGAGGTTCTTGTATCTTGCTGCAGATGCACGCTCAGTTCTAAGGTCAGTCAAGTAGGCTTTGATCCCTATATCATGCAAAAATGTATCCCTGATTATATTAATTACCCTGTAGAAGTCGACCTGATATGGTTTGCTACCTTTTTGAATGTTTGTACTTGTACAATCGTTCTTCATAGGGGCTGGAGGCCATCATACAGGAATGTCTTACTTCAAGTAAGAAGAGAACTTGGTGTTCAATGCTCCAGTAAATTATGTAGTGCAGACCTGGAGGCCGAAATATTTCTACACCTCCTGGATGAATATTCAAGGTATGTACATCTTATTTTGGGGAAGTATAAGGATGCCCGAACACAAATTTCCCTGGGATATATGAAAATAGCTGTAAACTATGTAACCAGATACGCTGCAATCTGTTTCCTTTTAAATGGATATATATAGTTATACACACTGCAATATATTAACTAGTAATCGGCGCTATTGCAGTTTCATATTCATTAATTTCTTTTGTGTTTGAAACTTCTAAGACCTATACTCTCTCTTTGCCACTCTAGTGGTCTTGAATACTAAATTGTTTCTGCATTTAGCCGTCAGAAAGGATCATTTTCATTTCCATGGGATAAACAGAAATCTCCAAAAGAAAACCCTAGCATTGAAGTAAACAACTGGAAGGTGCTTCGTGACACTGCTTGGAGGATTGGAGCAAAGGGACTAGAAAGTACATTCTTGAAGGTTAGTTGTGGTTACTTCTTCTCATTTCTTTGTGACCTTTCACTTCTTTGGCTAATTTCATTTGTTCTTTGATATGGAAGGGTGGCAGTGCATTGACTGTGAAAACAATCTATGAATCGGTATGAAATAAGTTTATTTGTTGGAAGATCAAATTCTGCTACTTCTAGTTCTCACAACACCGTTGTTTATTAATGTTACTTACCATTATGGTAGTTAGCCAAGAGACTATCTGGAAAACTGCTGATGGAGACAGCTAATTATGAGATTAAGAAAGAACTTGTTAAGCAGGTATACCTATTTTAATTGATTCTTTTGGTTTGTTGCTCCTGAATTTTTAATTATTTTGTGGTCATCGCTAGCGCAATAGATAGAACTTCATATCTGTGTTTGCCTAGTATAAGCTCTTGTTCTATTTCCCCGTCTGGAAAATGCATTGGCAAAGCTTGATATTTAGACCAACCGTGTTTGCATGTTACAACTGATATTCACTACTATCTTAATATAATATCCTCCAGAAGTAATGCCTTTACCATTTCTAGGGTGGCCGATTAGCTGCTGTTAACCTTGAATCCAGAGCTGGCTTGCTTGCAGCTAGGCAGGTAATACCATATTTTTATCTTCATTCTATTCCTCAGTGAGCTAGTATGCCCAAAGTGTGTAGGAGGCAGCTGCTTTTGTACATCAATATTGGCATTGTACCCACGTTTTTTGTCGAAGTTCGTACATACAGATGTCAAGTTTTAACAATCCTCTTGAATGTATGCAGGGTTTGGCTCGTGCAGCATCTAGATATGTTGGCCTTAGGAGTTTCATGAGTTTACTTGGACCAATGTATGTTTATTCTAATATTCTCTAGTATATTTTCATAAACCTTTCGTTGCTGTTACCGCCTATTTTTCTGGCTGTCAATATCTATCTTACACCATGATCTGATCAAATTAAATTCCCCTTTGCTTGCACATGGAGTATTTTGCCTGTAAGTCGCCTGCTAACTGCTCTGTGCTTACACTTGACTGTCACACAGAATGTGGGGCACACTCTTGGCTGATATTGTGATCCAAATGCTCGGGACAGATTATGCTAGGATTGTGCAGGCAATCTACGCTTTTGCTCAGGTGAGGTTCACTTTATCATCCTTCTCAGGTCTCAGTAGCTGCATTGATTCATATGTCGCCTTTGTTACAGATTCGGCTCACTCGGTCGTGTTACCTAGAATCTCATGAAGACTGACAAGAGCACAATCATTACCGGACAAGCCTAACTGGGCACTCTGATCTTGTCCACCATTACAGCTCCATAGTGTACATTCTGATCGCGCAGATCATTTCTGGCCGCATTACTTCACGAAGCTCTGCACCTCTGGGTAGTGCATAGATAACAGAGCAATTGGCAGATGGTAGGTAGCAAGGGCAGAGAAGAACAGCAACAGTTCAGCCCTTCAAATTCAGATGCGAGAATTTGATTGTAAAGCCTAGGAAAAACAGCATAGTGTCAGGATTGAAACTGTGTATTAGTAGTACTAGTAGTACTTGACAAATAGCTCACGATAGACATTTGGGCCACCTACTCTCCGAAGGCGGTAGTTGCGGATGAATATACATCGACTTCACACTTCCACGGGGTCCGAAGTTGTAGAACATGCATTCCATTCTGTCCCGGTTAAACAATGTAAAATAACGGCTCCCCTCGTCTTAAACTACTGCGCCCTACCTTTCAGTTAGGCAAGGCGTACTTCGTTGGCATTACTTCATGCTCATACCAGCCATCCATATATATCTTAAGACACATGATATGGTTGCATCGCATTTGCATATAGCACCCTGTGCCGATCACCGATGTTTTCCCCCTCGCGACGTTCATCGGAGCAGTATCTATCCACTCCCTCTGTCCCAAAATTCTTGTCTTAGATTTGTCTATATACAGATGTATCTAACTAGTTTAGATGCTGGTTTTGCTTAGGACATAAGATATCTGTGATATGTGCCTCACCGTCAACAAGTGCACTGGTGATTTTGGCAACCTGAAGATGGTCGTGCAAAGTTTTTACTAAACTTTACATGTGAGAACGCGAGGTGCTGTGTGCAAAGTTTCAATAGGAGACGAGCCATGCTGTGAATGAGCGCCATGTCTAGCTAGTGGTCTAGAAGGATGCATGGTCCATTGTTTATAGAGCTCGGCTCTCACCAGACCGCCGAAGCTTTCTAAATCCCGGGCATTTACCGCGTGAGAAGGAGCCGAAGGAACCGCTGCATGATCGGCACCATAAAGTGCGGCGCGGTCCAGTCCACGCCAACACCCGTCTTCTCTAGGGGTCGGGCGCGGCGACATGGCTGCTAAGATGGTGATCAGCCTGGGGGGCTCGCGGCGGCGGAAGCGCGGCGAGGTGCTGTTCCGGTTCGACTCCTTCTGCCAGCCCGGCTACCCGGCGCAGCTCGCCGGCGCGTTCCGGGACAACGTCAGGACCCTGCTCGGGCTCGCGCACCTGGAGGCCGGCGTCCAGGGGGAGACCAGGTGCTGGTCGTTCCAGCTCGAGCTGCACCGCCACCCGCCCACCGTCGTCAGGCTCTTCGTCGTCGAGGAGGAGGTCGCCGCCTCGCCGCACCGCCAGTGCCACCTCTGCCGTGTCATCGGTACAATACAGGCTTTGCATAACCATTGCACGCACGAACGCACGCGATTAGTCTGTCACGGGGAGATGATCGGTCGCGTCCGTGTCGCAGGTTGGGGTCGGCACCTGATATGCAGCAAGAGGTTTCACTTCGTGCTGCCCAAGAGGGAGTCCTCCGTGGAGACCGACGGGCTGTGCTACGGGATCGGCCACGGTGGCGGCGGCGCCGAGAAGGCGTCGAAAGGGACGGCGACCTCCAGGGGCCACCTGCTGCACGGCATCGTGCACCTCAACGGCTACGGCCACCTCGTCGCCCTCCACGGCTTCGAGGGCGGCTCCGACTTCGTCTCCGGCCACCAGATCATGGACCTCTGGGACCGCATATGCTCAGCCTTGCACGTAAGGTATATACGTATGTCTGTGACGTTGCAACGTACGTACGTACTCGTAGTATATATCGAACGCAAACGTATGTGTATATGCTCTGCATGAGCGAGCGATGAGTTCTCACTCACGTGCACTCACTCAACCTATGCTGTGCGTTGCAAGGACGGTGAGCCTTGTGGACACGGCGAGGAAAGGGCACATGGTGCTCAGGCTGCTGCACGGCGTCGCGTACGGCGACACATGGTTCGGCCGGTGGGGCTACAGGTACGGCCGCCCGAGCTACGGCGTCGCGCTGCAGTCGTACCAGCAGTCCCTCCACGCGCTCCAGTCCATACCGCTCTGCGTGCTCGTGCCGCACCTCTCCCGCTTCAGCCAGGAGCTCCCCATGGTGGTCACCAAGTACCAGGCCATCAGCGGCCACAAGCTGCTCAACCTCGGCGACCTCCTCCGCTTCATGCTCGAGCTCCGGACCCGCCTGCCGGCCACCTCCGTCACCGCGATGGACTACCGCGGCATCATGTCCGACGCGTCGTGCCGGTGGTCGGCCAAGCGCGTGGACATGGCGGCCCGCGCCGTCGTGGACGCGCTCCGCCGGTCCGAGGCGCCGGCCACGCGGTGGGTCACGCGGCAAGAGGTGCGCGACGCGGCGCGCACCTACATCGGCGACACGGGCCTCCTCGACTTCGTGCTCAAGTCCCTCGGCAACCACATCGTTGGCAACTATGTGGTGCGGCGCGCCATGAACCCGGTGACCAAGGTGCTCGAGTACTGCCTGGAGGACGTGTCCAGCGTGCTCCCGGCGGCGGTCGGAGCAGGAGCCGGCGTGCCGCCGGGCCACGGCAAGATGAGGGTGCGGTTCCACCTCACCAGGGCACAGCTCATGAGAGACCTTGTGCACCTGTACAGGCACGTGCTCAAGGAGCCGAGCCAGGCGCTCACCACCGGCGCGTTCGGCGCGATCCCGGTGGCGGTAAGGATGGTCTTGGACATCAAACACTTCGTCAAGGACTACCACGAAGGGATGGCTGCCACCAACAGCGGCGTAGTCGGGCATGTCTACATCAGCCTTTGCTGCACCTTGATCGTGAGGAACGGGAGCCCGGAGCTGGTTCCGCCGTACGAGACGGTGACCGTGCCGGCGCATGCCACCGTGGGCGAACTCAAGTGGGAAGTGCAGAGGCTGTTCAGAGATATGTACCTCGGCCTGAGGACCTTCACGGCTGAGTGCGTCGTGGGGATCGGCGCCGGCCTAGAGGCCAGCCCGGCGCTCGGACTGATCGGCGTGGGGAGCACCGTCGTGGTCGAAGGGGTGGTCGGCGAGCAGCAGGAACCGGCCGAGGAGGGCGACCAGAGGAAGAAAGCGGCTACCGTGTGCGAGGGGGGCGGCGACGTCGGAGAGAGGGTCGTAGACTGCGTATGTGGCGCGGACGACGACGACGGCGAGCGCATGGCGTGCTGCGACATCTGCGAGGCATGGCAGCACACGCGGTGCGCCGGGGTCGCGGACACGGAGGACGTCCCGCACGTCTTCCTCTGCAGCCGGTGCGACAACGACGTGGCTTCGTTCCCGGCCTTGAACTGCTAGAAGCTGCTCGGTACCGCATACCACAATCGCTGCTAGTCTATCTACGTGTAGTATGACCGAGGACTTCAACTGTTTATATTGTCTTTTTTTTCGAAAAAAAAGATTGCCCCGGCCTTTGCATCACAATGATGCATGCAACAATATTATTAACTGAAGTCTCCAATAAGTATGCAGTACGTTACAAAAACTCAAAAATAGTTGTAAAAAAACAACAAAGCCACAATCGGCAAAAAAAGACAAGATGCCTATACAACTATCCTATTGTTGGATTGTCATCCAAACCGATTGTAGGTATCCCGCGGGGAATGTATAGGGTGCCCCCATCCTTGGAGTCCACACATTTTAAAATGTTCATAAAATTTTGAAAAAAATCTAGCACATTCACACAACATCAATGCATGTTATCACAAAATTTTAAATCAAAATTCAAAACATTGCTCGAGATACAAAAATGATAAATTTGACATCAATGTGATAATAGGCCAAATCTCAAGCCCAACTTATGTCATGTACTAGTTACTGTCGAATCTGTTATATATGTTTCCCGAGCTACGTTTCAAATTTTGTGACAACATACATTGATGTTGTGTGAATATGCTAGATTTTTTTTCAAAATTTATGAACATTTAACAATGTTCTACTGAGTTCGGAGCATCGGGAGCACCCTAAGGGTGGGAGCATCAGATATTATCATGTATCCCGTGCTATCGTCTCCCAACGGTTGCACTCATAAGCCATATGCTCCTTGGCTTCCGCACGACTGAGTAACGACCACGTATGGATCCAGGAAGTTGCTCGGTAGACGACCTGCAAAAAATTGCAATGTTTCGTCTGTTAAAAATGATGTCGTTTCGACAGTTCCATGTGGCCCAAATTAATGCACACACTCCGATTCAAATATATGCCGCTACTTTAGACTCCACCGAATTTAACCAAGTCCCAAATTAAGGTATCAATATTACTAGGTGGACTAACATTAAAGGCCATGTGTACTGTGCGCCATAGTTTGGCTAGCAATCCATAAAGAGATGTTGAATCGATTCGTCATAATCAGAAAAACAACATTTTTTGCCGCCCTTTCAATGATGCTTTGCCAGGTTATGTCTAGTCAAGATCACTTTTTATGGACGATCCACATTTTTTAGAGGCACCTTAATTTTTCTAATATGGAGCGAGTTTGGGATTGGACCAATGCTTATCATATCGATATACATTGACTTCGCTAAGAATGCCCCCAACACCAAAAGTCTCCAATGTTGTGTATCTGGCTCATCCGATGATTTAATCACCATCAACCTACACACGAGATGTAGCCATCTATCCCATCGCTCACCTACTAGTGATCTTCTGAACTGAATGTTCAAGGGAAATGATCCTAGAAGTGTACTGAGGAAAACCTCTTTCCGTTCTACAATATTGTAAAGAGTAGGATATTGGATGGTCAGTGGCGTGCCCCTTAGCCATATATCCTCCCAAAACCTAATGGTATTGCGGTTTCTGACAATGAATTGGGTCATATTGAAAAAAAATATCTTTGTAAGCATCAACCCTTTACAGCAACTTTGAGTCGGAGTGAGAGATTTTTTTCCGTAGTAAGCAGAAATATGTGCCCGTGGAACCCATGTTTGGAGGGAGATGTCAGATATTTTC